GACTTCTCACCAGCAGTAGTCCAGTAGGTGGGGTGGTAGGACAGGTATGAAGATGTGTTGCCAGTACATGGGGTATAACACAGCACTGAGTGCATGTACGCAAGATGTCAGCTACGCACACAAAATGGAGAGCAACTTCAACACACAACACACAATAAACACAAGCCTGTCTGTGTGGTTTGCAATAGGCCACATACTGTGGTCAGAGTGTGACTTCAAAATAGCACAATGGAGGCTATTTTAGCTGCAGTGTGTTTAGTTTCCAAGTAGCTGCATGCAGTAGTTTCTGTCTTCAGGGGGGTGAGGTGAATGGTAATGAGTAGGAGGTGTTGTTAGGAATATGAGAGTTTGTTAAAGCAGGTTTCCACAGGATGGACATGCTGTCAATGTCATACAGTAAAAATAGATCAACTAAAGCGTGTGTCTTACGGTGCTGAGCTTGCTGGCAAAGATGAGGATGCGTCTCTCGAACAGCATGCTGGCGTAGAGCTGAAGCAGGTTCCCCACATCTACTGCCACAATCAGCTCGGTCAGGTTCCTCTGGTAAACCCACAGACACACGAACACATCCGTTTGAATCGGTCATTTCAAATAATTCACCTGCTTTATAGGGTACCAGATAGAAATCCTGGGTTTAGATTAATCGAATACACTCACATTTTCAGGGATGGAAGGAAGACTTTTGGGGTCTGGAGCAATAAAATATGGAACCTGGTTGAAAGAAATGAAATAAATTATCATGGAGAATGTGGCAGGGCATTAATGGGAGTGTTTTTTCTTTCAGCAACATGGATAGATTAGTATCCTTAACCATATATATATATGTGCATTAAAGGCTGCAGGGCTATAATTTAGGATTTCATTCCAAAATTCTGTGCCATTAGATTAATCTGTTGTGAAAGCTAAAAAATGTAATAATAAAAAAAACTTAAAACTGCAATCCTTTATGCAATCTAACCTCAGTTTTGATACTGCTTTAACAGCAATTAAATGTATTTACACACTGTAATTACCTAAGTGGCAGAGTCCATCAAATGACCATAGTAAGCACAGGTGTAACCACAAAAGCCAGGACTTAAATGTTATGGATTACAATTGTACTTTCTCTGTTTTCACACAACAGAACCGTGTAAGATGAATTAATGTCTCTTTTAGGTCACTGACTACTTATTTTGGAATGAAACTCTTCAAATACAAAAATCCACAACCAGCTGCAGCTTCCAGTTATGTGGACGCATTTCTCAAAGGACAAAACATTTTGCTGTGGGGTCAGTAAAATCTGCTGTATTTGCAAATTGCAGATACTTCCTTTCAACTGTGTTAAAGGCCATATTAAATGTCAAATGTTAGTGCGACTTTGGCTTCAACATTTCATTGATTAGAAGGGTGAGTGACAGGGTTTTAGTCCACACACATCAGCTTTAGCCATCAAGCACACGCAGCTGAGGTTTTCCAGCAGGAGTTAGTCTGTATCTGCTCGACCGTGGATCCAGACCACGTGAACTCCTGTGGGACTCACCCCCTCTTGTCCCTCTGGGTGTCCAACAGGATGGGACACCTCTGTGCTGACCAACAGCTGCTCTCCCTCAGAAAAAGCACACAACAACTCTAACCACTGAAAGAGAACAGCCACAAAGTCGAGGGTGACTCCTGGTTCTCATTGTCTAAATAGAGATTTACCATTTGCAGAGTGACAGATCCATCTGCCAGCGGCACGGGCTGCTTGTAGAGTGCAGTCAGGAGCGCTTTCATCTCATTGGTCTGTTGAAGAGATGACGTAATCGTATTATTATTCATACAAGGGTGAGCGGAGGAGCATATTATACGCACAGGCACCTCACCTGGCCCTTTGAAAGGTAATCAGCCAAGCTGTTGAGGAGTTTGTAAAACACTTCGAACCATGGAAGATAACTGTAATCAAATTAATTGAAGATGCATGAAAGTTAGGTTTAAAAAAAAAAAAAAGCAGAGCCATGGTGCCAGAATGAATCCGTGCAGGACTGTACCTGAGGATGCAGAGGCAGGTATGTGTGCTGTTGGCGAGGCGACAGAAGCCAAAGCGCTGGCATCCCTCAAGGTCAGTCAGGACAAAAGTAAAGTGCTGCACGGCCACTGCATCCCTCGCTCTGAGCAGTGGATAAGTGAGGAACGAACGTGTGAAAAAAACAGGTTCCAAAGGTAACCTTGAAGCAGAACAGCCAGTTTACACTCACCTCTGTATGTCATAAGGGAAGCAGAACCTGGGTAATGTTTGGCAGGATTCCTAGAAAGTGGAGGGAGAATTTAGCATGCAAAATGAAAACTAAAAACATAAAAACACAGTTGATATTGGCTCTGTGAGGCTTTACTTGGCTCCCACAGACGATGTTACATACAGAGGTTTACCATGAATAAAGCTTCCAAGATTCTCGCCGTGCTAGTTTAGTAAATATTCAGGTTTGTTAGGTGTCTATGTAAATGTCTTTAGTCTAGGTAGTTTGGAATAGTATATAAAATTGTAGTTTCTTAACTCCAAAATTTGTGTTTGTTGGGTCACATTGCAGGGTTTTAACATTAATATCAAAGTTAGACAGGTTCAACCTCAATTTTTACTAAACAGCTATATCTGTATAATATGCATCATAGCATATTAGCTGTATTGTTGAAATTAGTCAGGTACGTTTGTGTAATATATAATATTGTATGGCCTTAACCTTGATCTTAGAACAGGACAGGTGACAGTGTATAATACATTATATTTTAAAATGTTACATTTTTAGGGTTTCAGCCATTTAAAAAAAATAAATAAATAAAAAATTGGACAGCTAATTTGTGTATAATATATAATATTCTAGGGTCATAACGTTAGTCGGGCAAATATTGTGGCGTCTTAACCTTAATAGTAAAAATAGTCAGGTAAATTTGTAATATGTATAATATTGTAATCTTAATATATTAATTAGACAGATAGATTTGTAGAATGTATAAAATTGTAAGATGTCAATGTTAAAATTTGCCAGGTAAATCTGTATACTATGTAATATTGTAGGGCCTTAACCTTATTATTAAAAATAGTCAGGCATATTTGTAGTATATACAGTAATGTAGAGCCTAAATTGTAATACTTAAATTAGACAGTCACATCTACAGTGTCTGTAATATTGCAGGGCTTTAGCCATGACATATGAATTAGCAGGTAAATCTGTGCAGCGTACAACATTAGAGGGTCTTAACTTTGTACACAAACCTGTTTGTAACTTTAATCTCATTTCACGATTTGAAGACACTTGTTAAAGAATAGTTTTCAACTATGGAACACCAACAATGGTTATTTGACTGGTGAGTATATTAAATGTTGCACGAAAAACAAAGTATTGAACAAATTAAAACTTTGGTACTGTTACAAGGGTGCAGTAATCACTGTGGGTAATAACAAGTTGCTATGATCGTTTTCACATGACAGCATATCTACAAACATTAGGTTTCGTGTCTCCAGCAGCAGGAGACATGAGCAGCTACCTCATCACTGAAGTCCTCTGGAAACTGAAACAGCACTCCAGGATCTGAAACATTAAAAAAAGAATGAATGAACATCAATGCTAATACTCCAAACAAACTCTACTTAGAAAACACTTAGTCCACACCATGGCAAAACATTTTACAAGGTGACAAAATAAAAATAAAATAATTGTGGCAAATTGCTAAAAGGTTCAACAGATGCATGATTTTTATGTCACCAACAAGCATTTAGTGTTTGACTCCTTCAGCTGCTGAGTTAGAGAGATCATTACCACAACATGTTCCCATCTGGTTCATGTGTCAGTAGACAGGCCGTGCGGTTTTTCTGATCACGTGACAGGAAGTATGAGCAACTCTCAGCGCAGCAGAAACACCTTCGTATACACTAATTCTGAACACTTTCCCATTTTGCCACCTGCAAATTAACTTTTTCTCATCATGTTTGGAGCCCATTTCAAATGCTGGTCTCATCAATGAAGTGTGTCATGTAAGAAAATGAGGAGATGAAGGTGGAACAATTTTAATCCGTTTTTTTCTGTTGTTGAGAAATAACTCTGCACATCTGAGTTGCTCTATAGGAGATGACAGATGTACAATGCTTGTGGGAATGCAGTGTTTTCAAATTCTGTGTGGACCAGTTGCGCTGCAGCGAAAGAAGACAGAGGCCTCACCTTTGTCTCTGGTTACAGGACAAGTTGCTTCAAAGAACCAGTAGAAGGTTCCTTCAGGGTTTTGTCTGACAGGAAAGAGATTCACAGCATTGATATGAGATTATACTTAGAATATGTCACCCAGCAAACACGCTGACATCAGTGCTGCCACATTCCAGTAAATCTGTTAAACATTTATTATTCAATTTCCCAAGCCTAAAATATTTTGATCACAAGTAAAAATAAACCTGAAACAAAGAAAAACTGATCGACCAGAGACAGATGATCCTACAGATGATCCTACAGTGAGACTAAGGTGTCACTAAAATTTTCAAAAACTGGTAATTTACGCGTAAAATAAAGGAACACTCTGCTTTGGACAAAAACAGGCCTACTAAGTATACAACAACTGATAGAGGGCAAGACAGTTGCTGCATGAAACTTCCTGTGCAGTTGCAAGAGGAAGTAATAAAAACCACAAGAACAGGCTGACGGGCAAAGTGATGGTGATGGAGATCGACAAACAAAAAAATGACATGATGAACTTACTTCAGTCTGGAGCCCATGCTGTCCGAATGTGACTCTGTCCATGTGTTTGTCCGGGAGGAAAGAGATCTTCAGCAGGTGTCAGATGAAGCTCATACCTCTGATGTAGCAGCGGTTTAACTGAATGCAGACAGCAGCAGAAGCAGCAGCCTGCACAATCAACGTCGGAGTGACAGAACACTTCCTGATCTATGTCACTATGAGCGTCGTGTCAGTGTGTGAATGACGTCTGTCACAAGACCACCTCTCAGCGTTCACGTTCACTTAAGTTTCGATTGCATGTCTGTTTGTTTCTCTGTTTCATCTATTTCAAACCTAAGCAGCAGAAGGTACTTTTTAAATCCTTTTTAATCAAATCCTATGTATCTGTATACGCAGCAGCAGGAATCAACAAGTTATACTGTAGAAGTTCAACTTCTGCTCAGTGACATCTGGCAGAGTTGACCTAAAATCCCCTTCGTTGTTCCACCTTTGTTTTCAGTTTTCATTTGATACATTTCTATGTCCAGGCTGTTAAAACAGCTGCCTAGTCATATATTATATACAGGAACTGCTACTAATAAGAACATCCATAACACAACTTTCGTTCTTGCTGTATTAATTCTTTGGTAGAGGGGATCTGTTTATCATCTGTCTTTTTTTTTTTTTTTTAAAGGAATGCTTTCATTTAAGCATATATCATATCACCTATGAGTGAGCTGACTGGTTATTATACATACAAAGTTCCAAACTACTACAAATAAAAGTCTGTGCTATTCATCTTTTAAATATTTCATAGGCAGCAATGCAACACTAAATTTTATTGACTTTTTATTTATTGAATTTCATTTATTATGATGTGTATGGGGCTGCAAGGTAGGGCAGCGGGTAGCAGCATTACCTCGCAGCAAGAAGGTCACCAGTTTGCCTCCCGGTGAGGACACCCGGGATCTTTCTGCATGGAGTTTGCATGTTCTCCCCGTGCAGCGTGGGTTCTCTCCGGGTTCTCCGGCTTCCTCCCACACAGTCCAAAAACATGTTGAGGTTAATTGGTGATTCTAAATTATCCGTAGGTGTGAATGTGAGTGTGCTTGGTTGTCTGTCTCTAAGTGTAGCCCTGTGATAGACTGGTGACCTGTCCAGGGTGTCCCCTGCCTTCACCCTAAGCCAGCTGGGATAGACTCCAGCCTCCCGCGACCCTAGTGAGGATTAAGCGGTGCATAGACAATGGATGGATGATGTGTACTGTAGATGTAGATGTTTGTTTGCATACCTGTGTGTGCATGTGTGTAAGAATGCATTCTTTGCTGTGTGTAGTGTTACCTAAAACAAGCTGCTTAAAATGCATTGCCTTAAATAGGATTAATAGTCATTTGATTTGAACTAATTCATATTGAACTGGTTTCAGGACTCACACCACAACAGAACATTCGCTGGTACTAGTCTCACAGTGGAAAAGAGGCAACAACATCTTGCTCAGAAGCACCAAATTCACCAATCTCACACTGCCTCCTTGTGGTGTTGAAACCAAACTGCCTAATCTGTATCCAGTACAGGTCTCCATTTTGGTTTGCTTCATATTATGACATATAGATTGAAACTAAAAGTTGAATTGGGCATCCTTTCAGTGTCATCCACTTCAGAAATAGTGTAAACAGTGTATTTTTGTAAAAGTGCATCAGCAAGACTTAGAGCGAGCTTTTCATCTGATTATCTTGATTGTACATCGGTTTAAAAGATACTTATATTCAAATATAACAGATTCTATATATTTTTTTTAAAATACTCAAACACACACGGGGATATTTTTTCCAACAAATTTATTTCAATCAGTGCCAAATTAGACAAGTGATAAAATTTTCATGAATTGAATACTTGGCCCAGGTATGGAACTGCTTATCTGATGATGATTGAATGAACATTAACAAAAAGCCAATGACAAAAGACCACAAGCACAGCTGTGTTAGCTACCTCTATGAGCTCTGAGATGGGAGGATCGGTTAAGTGCGTGGAATGTGAATCCTACTCTGGCCGGAAAGGGGACTGTCGAGAGAAAAAAGAAAAAAAAAAAAAAAGGGGGAAACGAAGGGGAAGCAGGAATATAAGAGAAGACGGAGGGAGGGGACAGTAGTGTTAACAAAAAATCAGAGAGAGACAGCAGAGTAGGGGTGAAATACGTGGTTGGATGGAGTTGTGACAATGAGAAATGATGAGTGATTTTAGCCTCAGGCCGCCTCTTCCTCGCCTTCCTCTTCGAACTCTCCCTCCTCGGCCGTGGCGTCCTGGTACTGCTGGTATTCGGACACCAAGTCGTTCATGTTGCTCTCCGCCTCGGTGAACTCCATCTCATCCATGCCCTCTCCGGTGTACCAGTGGAGGAAGGCCTTGCGGCGGAACATGGCAGTGAACTGCTCGGAGATGCGTTTGAACAGCTCCTGGATGGCGGTGCTGTTGCCGATGAACGTGGCGGCCATCTTGAGCCCACGTGGCGGGATGTCGCACACGGCCGTCTTGACGTTGTTGGGGATCCACTCCACGAAGTAGCTGCTGTTCTTGTTCTGCACGTTCAGCATCTGCTCGTCTACCTCCTTCATGGACATGCGGCCGCGGAACACGGCGGCCACGGTCAGGTAGCGTCCGTGGCGCGGGTCGCAGGCGGCCATCATGTTCTTGGCGTCGAACATCTGCTGAGTGAGTTCGGGCACAGAGAGGGCTCTGTACTGCTGGCTGCCCCTGCTGGTGAGTGGCGCAAAGCCGGGCATGAAGAAGTGCAGACGGGGGAAGGGGACCATGTTGACGGCCAGCTTGCGGAGGTCGGCGTTGAGCTGGCCGGGGAAGCGCAGGCAGGTCGTCACCCCGCTCATGGTGGCGGAAACCAGGTGGTTGAGGTCGCCGTAAGTGGGTGTGGTCAGTTTGAGGGTGCGGAAGCAGATGTCATACAGGGCCTCGTTGTCGATGCAGTAGGTCTCGTCTGTGTTCTCGACCAGCTGGTGGACGGACAGAGTGGCGTTGTAGGGCTCCACCACTGTGTCTGACACCTGGAGGAAGAAAAAAAAAAAATCAGGGACATTAAAACCCAGAAAGAAAAGAAAAGAAAAGACAAACAAGCAGAGTGATGTGATCAGGGTACCTTAGGAGAGGGCACCACGCTGAAGGTGTTCATGATACGATCGGGGTATTCCTCGCGGATCTTGCTGATGAGCAGAGTTCCCATACCGGAGCCGGTACCTCCTCCCAGGGAGTGTGTGAGCTGGAAACCCTGAAGGCAGTCGCAGCTCTCGGCCTCCTTCCTCACCACATCCAGGACTGAGTCGACCAGCTCGGCTCCTTCTGTGTAGTGACCCTTTGCCCAGTTGTTACCTGCTCCGCTCTGACCTGGAAGGACAAGATTCATTACCATCGGCTGTGTTCCTTGGTCTAAAAATAAAGCTCCTTGAATATTTAGCTGTGTGCATCCTGTCAACACGTCCAAGTTTGTTATTTAAGCCAAAAACAGTTTCCTTCTTCTATATGGCCAAAGAAAATTAACATAATCCCTGTCACGATCCAGCTCACTAACAGTAGCTTACATGATGCTCCTTTAATGAATAACAGAAATGTTTATCTGCAGCCTTTAAACAAAAATCTAATCAGAATGTTCATAAGCCATGTTTGTTTTTTTTCCTTCTTCTACTCAATGAAAATGTCTTTTTTTTTTCGTTGTTGTTTTTAAGAACCAGTTTTATTTGCGCGTTCAAAACAATGCACAAAATATGTACGTGTGTGTGTGTGTGTGTGTGTTTGTGTTGCTGAATTTATACCAAAGACAAAGTTGTCTGGTCTGAAGATCTGTCCGAAGGGGCCGGAGCGTACAGAGTCCATGGTACCTGGCTCCAGGTCCACTAAGATGGCCCTGGGTACGTACTTTCCACCTGGAACACAAATGTACATGTCAAAATTTCTGATTAGAATAAAGAAACATAGATGGTTAGCACGCCAAGTTTAGACGAACACAGTGTCTGGTTGTGTTTTGAAAGTCCTGACCTGAAGCCTCGTTGTAGTAGACATTGATTCTGTCCAGCTGCAGGTCGCTGTCTCCATGGTACGTTCCTGTTGGGTCGATGCCGTGCTCGTCACTGATCACCTCCCAGAACTACAGACAGATTAAAGGGTGACATAAAAGACGGTGAGGCAGAGACTGGTCAATAAAAACATGCATAAGAGTCTCAGTTTAACTACTGATGATTTAATGTCTCAACACATGCTTAATGCAAACCGCCTGCATTAATATTACACTGTGCTTTTATTGAAAGGCCTTTACATCCTGCACTGCTTGCACCGTCAGGCTGAAACAATCAATTAGATGATTGACAGGACATTAACAGTCATCCAATATAACAACAGAATAACACCGTGAGTCACCTTTAAAGCGAAAATGCTCACTATTTCCAGGCTTCATAAGATTTGCGGCTTTTTCTTTGGGATCAGCACCATTGCAGCTTTTATTTTTTTTATACAAAATCACACAAGAAACAACAGATTAATGTTAAATAAAACAGTTTCCCAGTTGCATCCTCACAACATTATGTGCAACAATTTTTTGAGTTCATCACCTTGAGTGACCCGTGGTCCACAGAGGCCCTAAAAGGACGGGTTCATGAATGAATTTGGCTAATGGCATGTCCACTGCTTAATGGAGGGATATTAAGGTAAAATAAAATAATCCTTTTATTAATCCCACAGTTACAAGGGATGGTGCAAAAATGTAGGCACATCAGTAGAAAAAAAAAAAAGAAACATGCATAAGTGCTGTTGATGTTGTGCAGATTAGTCCATATGTGGAATCAGAATTTGCACAGATTCCACTGCACATGTAGAAAAACTCTGGATTCTTGCATGAGTAGAAAATATTGACATCAGTATTTTTTTTAAGTGTTAAAAAGGCCTTTATTATTATGATTAACTATGTGGATTATATTACTATTATAATTAAGTACAAGCAAATGTGTGTTGCCTGCGTTCCAGTGCACAGTGTCTGAGCCACACCCCTCACACACACACACACACACACACACACACACACACAAGTACGTGCAAGAGTGTCTGTTCATCCATTTCTTTTTTTTTTTTTTTTTTTAATCCTTCGAATTCGACAGCAGCCCACATCAACGTGCCTCCACACCCACAGACACCACCTCATCCACACCGTGTTGCAGCGACGGTCTCGG